GGGGGGTCTCGAGTATATCGGTGTTTCTGCATAGGAGTTGTATCCCTTTCAGGCCGGGTTGGTCCAGACAGGAAGGGTCAAAGTCTGCCTCTTAAATGATCAAAATAGTGTCGACGGTGACCTAAAGACACCTGAACTTGAAAGAATATAAAGGTGAACTGTATACACAATACACAGCGTCATGTTGAAAACATAGGTGTTGCCTTTTCGTAACAAACACCACAAAAGCAGTGTGGTTCTACCCGTTAAAGCAATCACCAGTACAACCAACCACTTCCACATTCTCCTCTTTGTTTGTCCTATACAGTTATAAATACACTGTCCAAAATATATTGTCTTACTATCCAAGACAACCGCGTTTCTCCACGGCAAAGGGTGGCCGTATTAAACAGTTTTGACTGCATTTTTAACTGAGCTCGTCAATGGCTGTTTTGGACAATTTCGACAGTACTTTTAAATCGAACTCATCAATGGTCGTTTTGGACAATTTTGACTGCAATTTTAAATTGAACTCGTCAATGGTCGTTTTGGACAATTTTGACTGCAATTTTAAATTGAACTCGTCAATGGTCGTTTGGACAATTTCGACTGTATTTTTAAAACGAACTCGTCAGTCCCTTACATTCACACAAGCCTGTCTGTTCGTTCATGAGGTAGCCCTCTTCACAGAAGCAGCCCCTCACTCCGTCCTCCATACGGCACTCAGAATTTTTCTGACACTCAACGGGGGTAGTCACGGTATTGTTCTGTCCCAAGCATTCGATCTTCTCCTGGCAGTTGGGCAGGAATACGATGTCCCCTTTCTGAAACAGGATTGCCAAAATGTATTACTGTCTCCATATTTTGTTGAGTATGTTTAGAGCTAATAAAAAGGAAAGGGGTGGGGGGTGAGGAGGAGAAAAAACGTATGCGTGAACGTGTTTATGTGTATATTACATGCGTATTATGTAATAATGTGTACGCAAACCTGTCAACCCTATCTATCTATCTATCTGTCTATCCTATCCTATGCTGTGCTGTCATGTCCTGTTCTATCTATCTATCTATCTATCTATCTATCATTCTATCTATCTATCTATCTATCTATCTATCTATCTATCTATCTATCTATCTATCTATAATACTTTTTCGTATATTGCCTGTTCCAACGTATCTCACCTGGTTCACAACGGCGCTCTCGTCCACATGTGCGTACTCATCCTCCTCCCCTCTGCCGGGGGCTTGTTGTTGGCGAAAGGATTCTCTTTGGCGCCTCTGGATCTTCCTGTAGACGTGAACAACACAAATTAAAAGAAACAAAAACAACGAAAGAACAATATTATCATCACCATCATCATCATCATCATCATCATCATCATCATCATCATCATCATCATCATCATCATCATCATCATCATCATCATTATCATCAACATCATCATTGTCTGAAAAAGAAGAAGAAGAAGAAGAAGAAGAAGAAGAAGAAGAAGAAGAAGAAGAAGAAGAAGAAGAAGAAGAAGAAGAAGAAGAAGAAGAAGAAGAAGAA